TTAAAACCATGTGGGCCTTGGTCATCAAATTCAGATCCGTGGTGTATGAGTTAGGGTATCTATTGCTATGAAGTGACAAAATGACTATGCCAGTTTTGTTTTGTTTTTTTAAAGAAAAACATTTAATTGGGGCTGGCTTACAGGTTCAGAGATTTAGTCCATTATCTTCATGGCAGGAAGCATGACGGCACACAGGCAGACATGGTACTGGAGAGGTAGCTGAGAGTTTTACATCTGGATCAGCAGGCAGCAGAAAGGGAAAATGACACTGGGTCTGGCTTGAGCTTCTGAAACTTCGAAGCCCACCCCCACTGACACACTTCCTCAACAAGGCCAAACCTCCAATAATGCCATTTCCTATAGGCCTGTGGGGGCCATTTCCATTCAAACTACCATATTTGGGCTTGGCATCAAGTATCTTTGCCCACTTGCCATCTTGTCAGCCCAAGATAAGTAGTTATAAAAATTTTTAAGTGATGTGTCTGTTAAAGTTTTTTTTGATCTATTTTTAAATAGGTTGTTTTACTTTCTTTTTTTTTCTGCATGTGTGTGTATGTATGTTTGCATGTGTGTAAGCATAAATGTGTGTGTAGGTGCATATGGAGGTATCTTCCTTAATCTTTCTCCATCTTTTAAAAATGTCATTTAACTTTATTTTATGTGAATTGGCGTGAGGGCATCAAACCCTTTGGAACTGGAGTTATGGAACTGAGCTACCATGTGGGTGCTGGGAATCGAACCCAGGTCCTTTGGAAGAGCAGACAATGTTCTTAACCACTGAGCAATCTCTCCTTCCCCCTCTCTATCTTATGTATTGAGACAGGGTCTCTCGATGAACTCAGAGCTTGCTTTTTGGCTCATCTTTTTATTATTATTATTTTAAATTATATGTGTTGGGTATACACATATAAGCAGTGCCCAAGGGTGCCAGCAGAGGGTGATAGATGCCCTGGAACCAGAATTTCAGTGAACCACCTGATGTGGGTGATGGAAACAAAATCTGGTCCTCTGGAGGAGCAGTAAGTTCTCTGAACCACTGAGGTATCTCTCTAGCCCTCAGCTGGTTGCTCTATTTTTTCCTGAGCTTGGATTACAGGCAGTTCTCTATACCTATCTGGTATTTATTTTTTCCATTAACTAACTAACTAACTAACTAACTAACTAACTAACTAACTAATTAATTGTTTACTTAATTAATTAATTAACTTTACATCTGATTACAGCCCCCCTCCTCTCAGTTCCATCCCCATACTCTTTTCCACATTTTCTCCTCCCCTTCTCCTCAGAGATGGGGAGGTGCTCTCCATGGGTACCAACCTGTCCTGGCACATCAAGTTACGGCAGGACAAGGCAGCCAGGCTAGGGGAAAGGGACCCAAAGGCAGGCAAGAGAGTCAGAGACAGCTCCCGCTCCAAATGTCGACCAAGTCAATAACCCACATGATAACCAAGTTGCACATCTGTTACATGTATGTAAAGGGCCTAGGTCTAGCCCATGAATGTTTTTTGGTTGGTGGTTTAGTCTCTGTGAGTCCCCATGGGCACAGGATAGTTAACTCTCCTACCTGGCATTTATGTGAGTTCTAGGGAATATGCACTTGGGTCCACACATGTAGGGAAAGTGCTTTACTCATTGAACCATCTACTTAGCCCAGTTCACACTGATGACTTTTCAGAATCTTTGTGGCTGAGCACGGTGGTGCACACCTATAATCCCAGCACTCAGGGAGGCAGGGGCAGGTGGATCTCTGTGAGTTCAAGGCCAGCCTGGTCTACAAAATGAGTCCAAGACAGGCAAGCTACACAGAGAAACTGTGTCTTAAAAAACAAAAACAAGAAAGAAAGAAAGAAAGGAAGGAAGGAAGGAAGGAAGGAAGGAAGGAAGGAAGGAAGGAAGAAAGAAAGAATCTTTGTCTACTTGCATATTTCAGATAATGGCCTTTTATTTGTTGACCTGTTGTTGCTGCTGCTTGTTTTCCTGGAATTATTTCCCTAGGACTGTGGATTGTCTTTTCTTCCTCTTGACCATGTTTTAGAGATCAGAGAATTTTAAAGTATTAATTTGTGGCACACCAATTCTTCCCTTAATGGTTGTACTGGTGGCATTATATCTAAAAAGTCATTATAAATCCAAACATATCTAGATTTTCCTCTACAGTATTTCCTAGAAATTTATATTTGCTCTATGATATATTTTGTTTTTGAGAAGGTGTAGAGGGTGTTTAGTTGTTGTAGCCCCACTTGTTGAAAATATTTTTTATCCATATTACCTTTGCTGTCTTGTCAAAGATCAGCTATCTATATGTTCCAAGTTTGTTTCTATTGCTGTGATAAAATACTCTGACAAAAACAAAACAAAACAAAAACAACAACAACAAAAAAAAAAAACAGCTTCAGGGAGAAAGAGTTTATTTTACCTCCCACTTCTGGGTTCTAGTACATCATCGTGGGGAAACCAGGACAACAGGAACTTGAAATGGCTAGTTACATCACATCTGTAGCCAAGAGCAGAGAGGAATGAATGACTACATGCTTACTACCGCTTAGCTCACTTTCTCTACTCTTACACAGCCCAGGACTCAACCCTAGGGAATGGTACTGCCTGAAGTGTGATGGGTCTTCCCATGTCACTTAATGTAATAAAGACAATCACTCACAGACATGCGCAAAGGCCAACATTGTATACATAATCCCTCACTGAGATGTTCTTCCCAAGCGATTGCGGATTACATCAGTTGGCAATTGAATCATCATACATACACTATATACGTAGGCTATTTCATTATTGGGCTCTCCATGTTCCCTTGATTCTTCTGCCAACATAACAAGCTCTTGGTTACTAAAGCTTTCTAGTATGATTTTTTTTTTAAGACTTATTTTTATTTACGTGTATAACAAGTCTCCATTTGACTATTTGTATGTGAGTGCAGGTAAGCGCAGAGGCCAGCATGGGCCACCAGATCCCCTGTAATTGGGATGTTTTGACATGGGTGCTGCTAACTGAACTCCAGACTTCTGGAACAGTCTAAAGCTCTCTTAACTCCTGAGCCGTAGATCTAGCCCCTTTAGTATGTTTTGAAGTTAAGTGGTGTTAATCCTTCAAGTTTGTGGTTCTCCTTCAGTATTGCTTATGTAAATTTCTACCTTAGGAAGCAAGATGGAAGGAATAAGTTCTGAAGTAAGAGTCAGAATAGAAATTTTAAAAAAGCTAGAACTCAATGGAGATCAATCAATAAATCCAAAAGCTATTTTAAAAAAGTGATCAATTAAACAGTAAAATTCTAGACAAGCTAAGGAAAAATGGCAGTAATTAATTTCAATGAAAAAGAGGACATCATTACAGATCCCACAGTCATGAAGAGGATAATCAGGGATTGGGGAGATGGCCAAGTGGGCAAAGTGCTTGCTGTATGTGCTGGTTATGTTTTTGTCAACTGACACAAACCTAGAGTCACCTGAGAAGAGGGGACCTCATATAAAGACATGCTTCAGTCTCACTGGTCTGTGGTCATTCCTGTGAGATGTTGTCATGGTTGGTGATTGATGTTGGAAGTCCTAGACCATGTGGGCGACACCATCCCCAGGCAAGTGGGCCTGGGCTGTGGCAATAAGCCTCGTTATTCCATGGTTTCTGCTTCAGTTCCTACCCTGACTTTCCTTAGGGATTGGCACTTAACCTGGAAGTGTAAGCTAAATAAATCCTGTCTTCCTCACGTTGCTTTTGGTCAGAATGTTTTAGCACAGGAACAGAAAAGCAAAGAACATCATGCAAGCATGAGGATCTAAGTTCAAACTCCAGATCCCACAGAAACTTGTTTTGGGGTCGGTGCCCTGGGCGGTAAACTTTACTCATGCTTGCTGGTCTCATCTCTTCAGGTGGGACTGTAAGCCTAAAGTGTCTGAGTTTAATGCTTATCTTCTCTAAGGTAGATTAGACTATGGTAAATTAATCTCTCCTGACACTAAGCTTTGTTTGGAACAATAAAATGATCTTATGGGTTTCAAAACAGGTCTTCCTGTCACCTACAGGAAGCCCAAAATGATCCCCTCACACTACTTGTTTCCAGCACAGGGAAGAGCTCCTGAAGGTACCAAATTATAGAAGTGTGTGTTTCACTTCCTGTCTCCTTCCCTGAGTGAGTTCTCCTGTGGAGTTGTGTGTATGTGTGTGTCCATGTATGTGTGGAGGCCAAAGGTCGATGTTAGGCATCTTCCTCAGTCACATTGCACCCTGCTTCTTAAAATTATGTATGTATTTGTGTCTGTGTGAGAGTATGTGTACCTATGCCTGTGTGCAGAAGCAAGATGAGGACAGTAGATGTGAGGACATCTGAACCTAGGGCTCCTATCTTCTCAGTGAGGCTGGAAGCCAGCAAGCTCAGCAATGCTTGTGTCTCTACCCCCTCAGCTCTGATGTTGCAGGTACATATAGGACACAGGGATCTAAAGTACAGTCCTCACAGCTGTACAGCTAGTGGTCTGAACTGCTGAGCCATCTCCCCATCCCTCTTCAGCTTGTCTTTTGAACCACGGTCTCTCACTGACCCTAGAGCTCACCAGTTTGGCTAGACTGGATGGACAGTGAGCCACAGAGCTCCTCCTGTCTCCACCTCCTCCTGTCTCCATCTCCCGGGAACTCCCCATTACAAGCGCATGGAATTTCTGTTGGGTTCTTAGGCCTTCATCTTGCAGAGCAAACACATCATTATCTCCCCAGCCACATCTGGAGCTTTTAGCACTCAGGTATGTCCATGCTGAGCTTTAAGCACCTAGCCAGTCACATTTGCTATTTTCTGTCCCGGTACACTGGTTCCTGCTTGTGGGTGCCTGTTCCCTCCAGCTGTGAGTCCCTGTAGTCCCTGGCTTCTGTCTTTGAAGGACACCCGAGCCTTCTGACTTCACTTCGCTGACAGACTGAGAATTGCTGATTTTTTTTTTTTTTTCCAGTTCAGCTTTTCCCCTTGTTCTGTTGTTTAAATCCCATATCTCCTTTATTCCAAGGCAAAGGAGGCCCCTCCGGAGGCTGAGATGGTCTTCACAGCTCGTCGCAGGGCGACAGTGATCTTCCAGACCAGCGGAGACTCGTGGCGGGAGCAGAAGGAGAAGCGGGCAGCCATGATGGTGGGGATCCTGATTGGCGTGTTCGTGCTGTGTTGGATCCCCTTCTTCCTGACGGAGCTCATCAGCCCACTCTGCGCCTGCAGCCTGCCACCCATCTGGAAAAGCATATTCCTGTGGCTCGGGTATTCAAATTCTTTCTTCAACCCCTTAATTTACACCGCCTTTAATAAGAACTACAACAATGCCTTCAAGAGCCTCTTCACTAAGCAGAGATAAGAAGGGCTGGGGGGACAGAAGGGAAGACCTGGGAAGAGCGAGGGGATCTGTAATTCTCGCTCCACCACACCACACTAACGACAGTGTTGTACCGCCGGGACTGGAATGTTCAAAAGTTCTCATGAAGGGTGGCAACTGTTCGCCACACATGTCCATGCCTTCTGCAGAAGGACATGACAGACATTACCAGTGAATTGTACATTTTATAGTAGGTCAAACCTTTTTGGGATGTGTTTTAGTTGTTACTGATAATTTGCTAGACTTGACACGTGACACAGTTGATTTTGTGTTTGCTTTATTCACTACTTTGTCCTTCGGGAAGGGTCTCTCTGAGACTGTCTCCTTGACATAGCTTCTCCTCTACGCATTCTCCACTGGAGGAGGAGTTTGGCCTTTCTTAGCCTCATGTAATTCAGTGGTTCTCAGTTTGGGAACAGAGGAGCCTCACCTGAAGCTTGGTTACAGAGTGTTCCATGCAGGTGTCTTCAAGATGCTCACTAGACAGAGGCACCTGCTGCTGAGCCAGGTGGCCTGCTTTTGATCCTCGAGACACACACAATGGAAGAAAGAAAACTACTACAACTTGTCTTTGACCTCCAGATATGTGTCAGACCACCCCTCCCCCATGTGCACACAAAATAAATAATACCTTTGCTTTCAAAATAGAAAAACAGTGTTCAGTAATTCATACAGACCAATCAGACTCTCAAAGAGGTCTGATGGTCTAGTATTGTGTTTTAATGGTTTTTCTGTTTTGTTTTTGTTGTTATATTTTGAGACAGGGTCTCCGGTGTAGCCCTGTCTGGACTGGGACCCATTATGTAGACCAGGCTGGGCCCCTAATGCACAGAGATCCACCTGCCTCTGCCTCCCAAGTGCCAGCTGGGATTAAAGGCATGCATATTATCATGTGAAGCTTTTTTTTTTTAATTTAACATTTTAGTCCATTTTAGTCCGAGGTACTTATATTACTCTTTAAAGTTTTTTAAGATTTATGTTTATTTTTACTGATTGTGTGTGTGTGTGTGTGTGTGTGTGTGTGTGTGTGTGTGTGTGTATGCTGGCGTCTGCAGGGACCAGAAGAGGGTATCAGATCCTCTGAAGGTGGAGTTACAGGTAGTTCTAAGCTGCCCCATGTGAATGCTAAGAACTTAACTCTGGTCCTCTGCAAGATCAACAAGTGCTTGTAACTGCTGAGCCATCTCTCAAGCTCCGTACTTCACTCTTTAGATACTTAAATGGGCATTTCTGGGGACAATCCAGAGAGCAGGACCCCTTAGAGCTCCCCATGTGGCCTGTTTTAAAGTTTCTTTTATCACAGGGAAGAACAACAGTGAGAAGCTGCTCCTGCTGCTGTGTGTGTATGTATGTACACATGCCTGTTTGTATGTCTATGTGCCTGTGTGTGTGTACCTGTGCATGCATGTTTGTGCACATGTGTATGTAACCAATAAAAATACTTCTGAGGTGTTCCTTTCTTGGGCCCCTATCAATTTATTTATGGTGCTTACTCCAAGATGGGGAGTGTGACACCAAAAGAACCTCTATTTCAGTGGTTCTCAGCCTTCCTAATCCTGTAACTCTTTAGTACAGTTCCTTGTGTTGTGGTGACGCCAACCATAACATTATTTTCATTGCTACTTTGTAGCTGTGATTTTGTTGCTGTTATGAATTGTAATGTAAATCTCTATATGCAGGATACCTGATAAGTGATCCCTGTGAAAAGGTCGTTCACTCCCAGTGGGGCCACGACCCACAGGTTGAGAACCACAGCTCTATATTGTACCACTACCTTAGGCTTAAAGACACTAAGGGTGGTCATCAGCTGTGCAGCTATAAAAACTTGGGTGGTCCATGGGAACAGCCCTTATGGCCTTGCTCAGATGCCTGTGGTCTGAGAGGGGTTTTCCAACTCCTGTTTCTCTTTTTAGTCTCCTTGGTGTGAGCAGAGTGTTCTCAAGAGAGGGTAAGAGGGTGAAAAGCCAAAGCCCTAAAATTCACATTAAGTCTACTGATGCCCCAGGGGCAGAAGCCCAAGGTGGAGACAGAGAAGTACACAGTAGCAGGTAAGAAAAACAGAACTGGGAAATGGCTCAAGACAAAGTGCTTACCATGAAATCCTGAGGACTTGAGTCCGAATCACCAAAACCGAAATAAAGCTAAACATAGAAGCATGTGTCTGTAATAGCAGCATTCCTATGGTGAGGGTCCCTGGAAGCTTCTGGGTCAGGTATGAGGCAGCGAGCAAAAGCCTTTGCCCCAAAGCAAGACTGCAGGTGAAGATTAGCATCCAAGGTTGCTCTCTGACCTCCACACTCTGTGGCAAGTGCTCATCTACACTTACACACACACACACACACACACACACACACACACACACACACACACAAATTGAGAAAGAGAGGTAAAAAATTTTAATCAAGGAAAAAAAGTCCAAAAATAATATAGAAACAGTAGGGGCTAGAAATGTAGCTCAGTTAGCACAATGCTTTTTTATCAGGTACAGGTCCTGGGTTTGATACCGATTACCACATAAAGCAAGGATGGTGGTACATGCCTCATGATCCCACTTAGGTGGAGGCAGGCAGATCAGGAGGTCAAGGTCATCCTCAACTATATAGAGTGTTCAAGTCTGAGACCCTGTCTCAAATACATACATACATACACACACCCAAACACCCAGACCCACACGTGTGTGTGTGTGTGTGTGTGTGTATACAATACATAACCCAAACCACACACACTGGCAGAAAGAGGTCTTCAGAAGCTTTTGTGTGAGTTGTATGTATTATGCTATGACAGTGGGTCCCCTACATTTTGCCCTTACCTTCCTGCAATCAATCAGCTCCGGGAGGAGGAGCCCATTAGAGCTGCTTCCTTCTCAAAACTCACAATGGCTCTTCAAACTCACTGGGGCATGTGTCTTTTTACTCACTTTGTCCCTCTGCTTGGAAGTGTCACCCAGCTCTCCATGTGACTCTCCCTGGTCAGTGGCTGAGGCCTTCCCTAGTTTCTCAGTACGGCAAGGCAGCCACCACCAAACGCAGTCCTCCGGGATCATTCTTCAAAGCTGCTGATGGAGTGCCTTCTTGTTGTGCGCCTTCGCCTGATTCCAGTCCCTCTTCACTACTCTGCCAGTGCCTGATACTTTGGTTGAATGTGTGGGTGAGCAATGAAGATCCCCACTGCACAGGAACATGGAGGCAAACAGGCCCCAGGTTGGTTCAGAATCTTATCATGCCTCCAGGAATTCTGGATTCCTATCTCTTTACCTAGCCCAGCTCGAGATGTCAAGATGTCTTTGCTCTGTCTTCAGATGGCTGATGCTACTCAAACAGTCTTTCCTCCTACCACTTGAAAACAACAGAAGGGTAGAGGGAGCTCCCTTGATGCCACTCTTGTTGATGTAGCCAGGATCCTGCCTTTGCAAGGCCACGTTAGCACTGCCCCAACATGTCACAGCTACTCTGGACCTTTGTTTATAAATCAGCCAAACGAGTACAGGTTCCCCTGCCTTACAACAGCCGCCTTTGGGCTGGATATGGTCAGAGCTTAGGAGTGTTCCTGCACGCACATCAGGTGGCTGACATATGCCTGTTAATTCCAGCTCCAGGGTTACCTAATGTCCTCTCTTGGCACACAGGATTCAGCACACACACGTATATACACAAACATGAGAGTAGAATAAACTATAGGCTGTGGTCCAGTCTAACAATGGCTGTCCATGAATAGGTCTAAGAATCCAGTAGTTGTTCAACAAATGGGTGTGGGTGTCTCAGCTGGTCTTCAGCATACAACAGAATCCCACAGAAGTAGGTTCTAATGCCAAGGAAGGAATGGGCTTGTCAGTGAGAGGAAGCAGGTGAAGTGAGCAAGTGAGAAGGGAGGCAGGAAGGGAGGGAGATCTTCTTTTTTCCAAGTCCACTATATAGAAAGCCAAATAGAAGGTGTGGTCCAAATTAAAGGTGGATCTTCTCATGCCAAAAGATCTGGATAAGGTTTATCTTCCCACCTCAAAGACCTTAGTTGGAAGTTGGTCTTCCCTCTTCAAGTGATTTAATTAAGAAAAAGTCCCTCTCAGGAGTGCACAGTCATTTGAGTTTTAGTTAATTCCAGATGTGGTCAAGTTGGCATCCATGAATAGCTATCACTGCTTCTGACCTCAGGGCTTTCTTTGCTTTTGTTAAGAAAAAGGATTATCTGGGTGTGGTGGTGCACACCTTTAGTCCCAGCACTGTGGAGGCAGAGGCAGGCAGATCTCTGAGTTGAGGCAGTACTGGTGAGGTAGAGGCCAGAGGATCACAGATTCAAAGTCACCCTTGCTATACAGAGTTTGGGAGGAGGAGGAGAAGGGAAGGACGGAAAGATTGGTGGAAATGGAATCCTCTCCCATGATTTTTAAAAAATGAAACTAAATTAAACTTCAAAAACTATTTATTTTTGAGTAGATAATGCATGTACATGGTACAAAATTTCAGAGTACAAAAGGCAAATGGTGAAAAGTCATTCCCACCCTCTTCCAAGAGGCAACCAAGGTTGCCAGGCTACTGTGTCACTTCTCAGAGACACTCTGAGAACACGCAAGCAGACATATCACCAGCAGATGTGTCAGTATATGCACACGCACATATGCAGACACACACCTACAACACATGTATTTATCTCTATTCCAAATACTAGCATTTCATGCATGTTCACTGATGTTTTCTTCCCCCACTTAACCATGTGGCTCCAAGATCCCATGAATGTTCCCTGCCAATAAACACAGCAGGTTTATTCTTTTAACTGTCTGCAGACTGCTCCAGTGTAGAGATGGGTCATGATTTTTCACCCCTGTTCTGAATTACTGGTAGTTTCTTTTTGTTATTATAAACGTTGCTTTAATAAAAGTTTCTGTACATAAGAAAAGTTCCTAGATGTGGCACTGCTGGTTCAAAAGGCGGTACACTGGGATTTGTGAACTGTCCAACTGTCCTCCATGGAGGCTGTACTTGTACTTTGCCATGACTGTGGCGTGCTACTGCCCACAGCTGTATGACACCACCCATCTGAAGGAAGAACATACTCATGAGCCTATGTGACACTAATGTGCCCTCCTTGCCATAATACTGGACATCTTCCAAAAGGTGATCTTGGTTAAAGGCTGGAAACTTCCAGAAAACGCCTTTTCCATTCCCCCTTCAAGGTTACAGACTGAACACATGCCTGAAAGGGCTTCTCTAAAGCTGCTGACTAGAACTGCCAGCCTGCTTCAACCTGAGCATGGACTAGGTTAAATCTCTAATTTGCTACTATGGGATGCCAAGATAACAATTTGGAGGGCCAACTTAATCAACTGGAATGTTCTGACTATCTGAGGAACCACAGCAAGGTGGGCAAGGCCCCCTGCTTCTGCTGCCCTTACACATTGCAAAGGGGAAAAGTGCAGACCTGGCAAAGGCCTGGGACCTTAAGCAGTGACACGCGTCATTAGGACCGACAACAGCAGTTCGGTGGGTGGACCGTGACATGATCAGGAGGCCAATGTGAAGTCATTACCTAAAATCGTGGAGAGGACACATGAGGAAAGTATCGATGGAGGGGAGATCGGTCCTTTTAGGAAACTGATACAGGCTAATAAAGATACAGAAGGGATGACTCCCCTATGGTGTCAAATGTACTGCAGATGAGGTACTGCAGCCCTGCTCATGATCTGTATGTCATATTTATTCTGAGAAAGAATAGAAGCATTACTTCTTTGTATGTGCATGCACATGTATATGCCCATGCATGTAAAGGTCAGAGGTCAACTCAGATGTCTTGATTGCTCTCTACCTTACTATATGAGACAGGTTATCTCACTGAATTGGAGCTTACCAAATCAGCTAGTCTGGCTGGTCAGTGAGCCTGACAGCTGTCTCTGCCTGTCTAGTTTGGAAAATACACTGCTCTGCTTGGCTTTTTACATGGATGATGGGGATCCTAGCTCAGGTCCTCATGCTTGCAAGACAAGTACTTTACTGACTGAGCCATCTCCCCTGGCTTCTACTCTGCCTACTGCCACCTGCTGCTAGAAGGGAGAGCAAGGAAAACTCTAAGATGCATCTCATAAGGTTCTTCCTCTGGCCATGCTCAGCTATAAGAACAGACAATGGCACCCATGTTACTGGGCTCTGCATTGTATTGTTCTGCATTACGGTGTTCTTTTTCTCTGTGACCAACCTTGGCAATGAACACATCATAAAACACTTCCTTACAGTACTTCTCAGAGCATATTTCAATTCAACTGCCTGAACCTTCACAAGTCAAAGTCACTGTCAGAAGTTCTTGCTGGGATGCACAGCTCCCTTAAACTGACCACCCATCACCTGGAGTGTAGGCAAGACAGAGCCATGGGGAGGCAGAGGGAATGCAGAGTGTATATGCTACAGTCAGGCTGGATGTCCCAGATACTCCTTCAGGTAGTGTCTACTTTACTCAAGGAAGAAAAGGTGAGTCTGCCAAAGCAATGATCCATGGAAATGCCACTTTGAGAGGTAGTAAGGGGGCCATAGGAAGGCCTGCCCCATGCTTTGTTCAAGGTTTCGAGAGGTCTCCAAGAACAGTCTGGAGAAGGAATGCCCTGCCTGGTAACCAATGCTGGTTTGGTACTCCATGAGCCCGTGTCTTCTCTCTTGAACCATGGGCTACAAACCAGACCCCCATCCAGAGGATCAGATTAAAGGAGCTTATGCCCAACATGGACTCTGCTTCATTAGAAATAACATCACCCTTCTGGATATGAGTTGGCAGCTCTTCTGTAGTACTCTGCACTGCCCCTGTAGTGCTAGCTGGCCAAGCACAGGACATGGGAGAACAGCAGAATGTCCCTACATCTTTCTAGACCTTTCACCACCACCGTAGTTTAACTTTGGTCACAGCTGCTGTGAGTTGAGTTTGGTCTCAACCAGAGCATCCTCAGGTAAGTCATGAAAATTAAGGAGGAAGGAAGGTAGCTCCTGCTCTAGAGGCTGGTCCTAAGAATGCATGGTACTAGCCAGCCCTGTGAACTAGCTCACTTCCCTGAATCTGATTTCTCTTAAAGCGCGCGTGCGCACACACACACACACACACACACAAAAGCCACTTACAGATGTTTTACTACTAATTCTGGTAAAAGCCACTAGGCTCAACACAATGTCTGGGTACAGAAGACATTGATCTGGGAGGCTCCTCCCTCCCACCAGTCTTTCAGGTAATCTCCTCAGCCTATAAACAGGTCAGACTGCACAGCCCACTTCATGCTGGAATTACCTACAAAGGTGCTGTCTATGTTTCAGGTTGCCTGAAGCAAATGTAGGATTCTCAGTGCTGGCTTTTGTGGTCTAATTCAAAGAGTATACACAACACAGCCTAGAAGGCTCCAAAACAATACAGGTGAGCCATTGTGCATGGTTGCCCACCTGAACTAGACATTAAGACATTACTCTTTTAGACACCACATACTTTGAATGTGGCACATAGAGAAATCAGGACAGATCTGAGCTAGAAGCGTCTTCCCTGTTGGCTAGCTTTCACAGCGTCAAATGCTGCTTGGAGTGGTGGTGTCAGCAACAGTCTTAACCAGCCACAGACTTGCATACTATGATATCAACTTGCCAGGCAAGCTGTGAGGATTAGTGCAATAGTGGCATGACTGTTATGGGGGTAAGAACTGTATTCTGTTTAGATCTGTGGCCTGTTCCCCAGGAGGAGTTCACACCTGCTACTGTAAAACCAGTAACAGGATCCTCTCATTGATCTGTGTTAATTCCTGTAGATTAAAAAATCAGACAAATCAGTATCCACCGATCTCTCTCTACCAGGAGTGAGCAACCTTTTGCTGTTACAACCTGACACTGACATCTACAAAGTTTACACAGAGTTAAGTGTAATGGAGAAAAAAAACCCAAAAAAACAGAGAGAAAATAATCTCCATGTTTTAAATTACTTTACAATTTTGCGTTGGGCTACATTCACAGTTATCCTTGGCTACAGGCAGACTGTAGTTGAGCAAGCCTATAACCATACCAAAAGCAACTCTCCAGAAACAGCATCTAATAAAGGTTCCCATTTCCAAAACCATTCTAGTTGCTTTAGATCAGTTATTCCAGACCTCTCCCAGACATGGGCAGGTGGACTCCAGTACCTCACCTGCCTCCATCTACTTCCCTACACCTGTGGTCAAACACTGACACTAGCCAGAGTTCTGCACGATCAAGCTTGTTCTCAAGAAAACACAGGCGGGTGGCCCACTCCTCTGAACTGGAATAGTTCCGAAACCTTCAAAATGCTGTCGCCTCCCTCAAGGTACTATTGTATTTTTATTAACATCATTATTATCATTATTGTTTCATAAGTACTTATTTCAGCTGAGCCTTTTCACAATGCTCCCATGACCACGCAGGTGCTAGTGGAGGTCGAGGTGCACACACGGCTCACAGAAGAGTGCTGGTACAGGGGGTGATGCTTTAGGCGCTGCTGTTTCTATCCAGCTCTGCACCCTGGTTCAGGAACTGATGATGCTGTTAAGGCTGAATGGGCTTTTTTGGGGGTCGGGGAGACAGTCTTATGCAGTCCAGGCTGGTTTCCAGTTTGCTGTTTCGCCTCGGATAACCTTGATTTCTTGATCCTCAGGCTTCTACTTCCTGAGAGCTAGGATCATAAGTGTGCCCTGCCATGTCTGTTTTATGTGATGTGAGACATGGAACCCAGGCAAGCATGCTTCCAGCTGAACAGCTTTTCATTTGTCTAAGTCTGAATGCCTCTTAATCACATTAGGAAACTGAACGAATAGTGCTTCTGTGCCCGCTTGCCTGACATACTTATGCTTGTTGAATGGTCGTAACCTGCTGTTCAGATCATGTGTGAGCCAACTTTATGCAGAAGGGGACAACAACCTCACACTGGGGTTTACGCATGATCCAGTTAGTTGCTAGGTTCTTCACAGCTGGGGGCGGGGCATGGTCTGCTCATTTCCAGAGGCCCCTCCTTCCCATCTCAGCCAACATCCTATTCCTTTCTTATCTAGCCCAATTGCTGTTTCCTCCATGGAGTCCTCGTGCTCCTGTGCACATACCTTCTTTTTCTCCATGCACAGCACAGTCTCTACCCATGTCTGTCCTGATAGCACTCAACAGTGTGCACATCTTAATCTTCACTCAGACCCTGACATCTGCAGTGCAAGAACAGGGGATATGCCTCCAACAAGGGCCTATCTACATAAGGAGAGCTTCAATTCTTACTGAGGTGTCCTCAATGAAAGGCGCACGAACATTTTTTTCTATCAAGGGAACCTGGGCGGTGTGCAGGGTTAAGGGGTGGCAACAAGCCGCTCTCACAGCTATCCCTGACCGCTTGCTGCTCAGGGCGGGACACATCTACAGCCACACCAAGGGAAATGCCTGAGAAGCATGGCTCTAGTTGAAGGGTTGCCATTCCCAGAACCCATCACGGTCACTTTCTATCAGCCTTCCCACCACAGACAGATGGCCTCCACTAAACCCGAACCTCACTTTCTGTCTCTACACCTGTGAGCTAATTGCTTTCTCTGCATGCCAGCCCAACCTGTAATCCACACACACTGTGAGAAGCCGGAACGAAAGGCACAACTGTAGATGAAGGGGCTGGCTACTCACCCAGCAGCCTTCTGAAACATTTCAGAAGTCAAGTTTTGGGGCTTATGTGGGTTGTATCTGTTCTCTGGGTGCCTGCTAGATGCCAGAGGAGCAGGTGTAGTGTTCTGCTACATTTACCTCAGGGCTTATTTCTCAGTAGTTGCTCAATTAATACTTGCTGAACACAATGCTCTTTATTCTCAGGGCCCACAGAAATCCAGGTAGCTTCATAAATGCAGTGTTACTGGAGCAATAAAAGTTGAATGGACAGAGTGCATGAGCACTGCCCACATTTCTGGGTGTCATCCAAGCCGTGATGTTAGTCTAGTCAATCTGAGTCCATCAGCCAGGAGAGATGAAATGAAACAAAAAGGAGAAAGGAAACATCCATCCATCCGGTTGAAATGAATCTTCCCGTATCTCTCCTCCATCATTTTCAGAACCGTTTCAGAATCCTGTAGTCCATACATGTCATTAAAAATATATCAATGATATATAGAAATGGAGATGGATTCTCAGGAGGCCTTGGCTTTGATCTTGGACAGCAAGAGCTCATTCTTTCGGCCCTCCTAGAAAAGCAGAGTAAGAGAGAAGCAGTGACTGTTCATCATTAGTACTCACTTGGGGGGAGGGGTCTCCAAAGATGCCCTAGCCCCCTCCTCAGTCTTAGCAACTGTCTTTTTTTTGAGACAGAGTCTCACATAGCCCAGGTTGATCTTGAACTGGCTACAAATGACCCTGGATTTGGATTGCAAAGCTAGCCCCCTACCAACTGAACTACATCTCCTGCCCCTTTGTAGCCATTTTCTGACAAGTCAGTCAGTTTCATGAAGCTGCGAGCACAGTGACGCTCCTTGGTGACCTACTGACCTATGTCAAGACAGATGTCATGAAGCCTCTGGGCTGAAGACAGGAGACCAGGCACTGCCTTTCCTACAGACAGAACTTTCTAAAATCTCCAGAGGACAGGAGCAGAAGGCAGACACTTCTGTGCTAGTCTGCTTGGCAGGGTAAGGAGAGAAGGGGCCCTGGAGACCATCCCCTAAGATGGGACTAGGCAGCTCCAATGTACACATAGACAAAACATAGGTTCTAATAGTGAAGATGCTGAGTAGTCTCAGCCTTAAGAAGTAAGTGCACAGAAGGCACAGTGAGCGGTATTTACGAAGGACACTCCCTTCTCCAATAATGAGCTCTATGAGGTCTGTGACTTAATCACGTTGAAGGTTGTCACTGAGGGACATCATTGGCCCCATTTCCTGCCAGTGGCGCCCGGTGTCCTGAGATACCAGTTACCCTTCTGTGTTCCCTTCCTCTGGTAAACGCTACAGCTCGTCACCTGATGACAGCTCAAGACACTTCTGTTAGCAAACCTCCAACAAAGATAGGCCTTTCCCAAAGCTACTTAACGTTTCTAACCAAAAGAGACCTGAGAGGCTGGGGAGACGGCTCATTGGCCAAGTGGGCCTGCTGAGCAAGTATGCTGAGTCTGAATCCACATCCCCCACACAGAAAGCTCAGCATGATTGTGCACATGTCTGTGACCCTGGCGCTTCGGGGACAGAGGCAGAAGGATTGGTGGGACTTCCTGGCTGCCGGCCTAGCTCTAAACCCAGTGAGAGATCTTGCTCAGGAGAATATAGCAGAAGGAAAGAGCACACCCCCAATGTCCTCCTCTGGTCTGCACAGACACACATGGACATGCGCTTGAAAACACAAGTATCACACATGGACTCTGCATAAGTGTCGGGGCTCTCCCCATGCTTCGGGGCCTTGGCTGCTCCCTGATGTGCTCTTGTCCTCCTCATAGTCCAGCCTAGCTCAGCCTGTAGAGCCTGCTCTCACCACAACAATGGCACTTGTCGCCCCACATGGTAAAGTCTGAGACTGTCACTTCTATTGTATCTTGTTTATTTGTTTCTCAGCTTCTGTCTCCCTCACCACAGTGAGGCTCCTTGAGGACAGAGAGCAGGTCTGTTTACAGCCTGGTTTACACCAGAGGCACAGTCAGAGCTGGAGAACATTGGAAAGGATGAGATTTGTTGCAATGCCTGTAGACATGCATACGGCTGCCAAAAATTAAATCAAAACAAAGGGTAGGGCAGGTAGAGAAGGTATATGGTAGAAGAGGAAGACAGAATAATCTTTAAAAATGAATGAAAACAGTATCATTGGCATGGGACATTTTCTTTTTATTTTGTTGATTTGTGTATGTGTATATATGCTTGCATGTGTGCCTATAGAGGTCAGAAGACAGAGGTCAGGCTTAGCTGCTGCTCTTCAGGCATTTTCTACCTTGCTTCTTTTAAAAAGTTCTATTTATTTATTTTGTGTGTGTGTGTGCCTGTCGTGGAGATCAGGCAACTTTTGGGGGCTGGTTCTCCCTCTCTACCATGTGGGTAATGGGTATTGAACCCAAGTCATAAAGCTTGGTAGAAAGGATCTTTACTCACTAAGCCATCTTGCTGGCCCTACTTTACTTTTTAGAGACAGAGAGGGTGTCTCTCTGGCCTGACACTCATGAGTAGTTGGCAAGCCTTACCAACAAGACTCAGAGATCCTCCTGCTTTCTCCCTAGCACTGAGGTTACAAGCAAGCACCATACCTGTTTTTTTCCTCCCCTGTGAGTTCTGGGGATCAAACTCAAGTACTCCCACTTTCACAGCAAGCACCTTAAGGACTAAGGCATCTCTCCAACACTCCAGCTCCAGTCTTTAATGGCACCTTGAGGTGCGGTGAGGTGCATCTGATCTTGGCTGCCATCTGTCCAGCCTGCACCCTCTCACCTCTTTGAACTCTTTCACAGTCTTGAAGTAGAGCCTCTGCTTCTCCAGGAGCTCCAAGTATTGATCGTTCAACTGGTCTCTTCTCATCTTGTTCTCCTGCTTCTTCTTCTCCATCTGTTGGAAACATTTTGGCAAATGGTGGTGAATAAATAGGCATTCTGATAGCAACCACAACATGCAGCATAATTAACATTCATTATCTGTTTCTTCCAGGCCTTCCCACATAAACATAATTTCTCAGTTGGCCTCTTTTCTTGAATGATATCATCTGCAGGCTCTATAATCTATTCAGCAGTTTAATTTTATGGAATGATGAACAGAATGTACTTCTGGGTGTTTCTCAACTTAGATTCTCAACTACTTTGTCTCTAGAGGGTATATGTGAGTGCTTACAAGTGGTTTTGAGTATCACAACTACAAGGAAGGAGAGTTGCTGGTGTCATTGGGAAGGAGAAGCTGCTTTCCACCCTAAAGGGTTCAGGACTGTGACAAGGCACAGTTATCTGGCCCAGAGTGTCAGCTGCTGTTTTGGGTGAGTGACCCTGATGTATGGAGTTGTGTATTTTTAATAAAATAGCCTCTTGCTCTTTCAGTTACCATAACTGTGTTATAGCATAAGCTATCTACAACTATCTTAACCATTTGAGATTGTTTTTAGGCTTCTGACCTTATACACAGTCACTAGATATTGACTTAGAGATTTCTAAGGTAGTCAAGAGCTGGAGGAAATAGACGATGGAGGACAACTTGTGGGAGCCACCTTTCTCTTTCCATCATGTGCCTGTACCCAGTGAGTCACCTAGTTGGCCCAAACTTGTTTTAGAGACAGAGACTCTCACTGGCCTGAAACTTGCCAAATACCCCAGACTGGATGGCTATCAAGCCCCAGGGATGTTCCTGTCTTCAGGTTCCTAGCACTGGGAATAAAAGCATGTGCTAGCATCACTTGATACTTTCTCAGGCTTCTAGGGATTAAACTCAGATCCTTTATTCACTTGATAAACAGTATTGGACCTACAGTGAGCCTGAAGTTAGCCATGGAGGAGTAAAGTTTTTGTTCTCACAGGGCACATCCTGGCAACTGATAGCAAACCAGAGCAGACCAACCCACCATCCAAGAGCCTGACAAACAAGTGCACCTCACAGTTATGAGCAGCATCAGTGCCGAGGAAAATGGGATGGAGATAGTGAGGGCATGTGGATCCGACGCACATGGCTGAGAGGAGGGCCAGCCCAGCAGGATGTACAGAATTGTCTGAAGCTAAGTGGAGAACATCAGCTGGCCAGGAGATGAAGGCAGAAAGAGCAGGTAAAGCCTGTGTGAGCATGTGTGTGTGTATGTTGCCTGTGTCTAGGTGCGTATGTGTGTGCATGTATGTAGACCAGGAGAATAGCTTGGCTATTATCCCTCACCTTGTTTTTTGAGAAAGGGTCTCTACCTGGCCTAGGACTGGATATATAAGTCAGGCTGGCTGGCCACTGAGCCCCAGGAATCCCCTGTCCCTGTCCCCACATCTGGATCATAAACACACGCCACCACACCCTGCTTCTTTTAAGGGAAGGAGTGGCTTTAGGATGAAATGTCATGAGATAAATGCCCACGGTGGAGGTGGCTGGACAGGACAGGAAGGCTGCTGGGAAGTGAGCTCTTTATCTGTGAAACAGGGGAGGGGAGCATCACTCAGTTAATGCCCTCCAGTGGGGAGCAGCACAGGAGTGCTGAAATCCTGGCAGCTATGACTGAGAGCAATGAGGAGGCCTTCCCCACCAGAGTCTCACGCCTGGTGGGAAGCAATGTGGAGGTATGCAGTCTGGATGGACAGCCTACACCCAGGACCTTGTCACCTCACAGACCCTGCAGTGCTGTAAAATAAGCCAGCTGACCTTCATCCTGCTTTGTTTAATGCCTTCAACAATTTGTTCCATCTGCCTTAAAAACTGGTCCCGCGCAGCAGGGGAGGCCATGGCTCTGAAAGAGAAATCAGCAGAGGTATGTGTGGCACATGGGACTGTTAGAAAGGGGGTGGGGGACCTAGATTGTGCCCCAACAATTCAACTAGACCTTTGCAGGGCACAGTGGCCCAGAGAGCCACCAAGAACATGGGCAGTCAGGGTGGCAAACCTCTGATGTGATAACCGAAAGTGAATCTTTTGGTTTCCCCATTCTCCCTGTGTTCCTGTGGCAACGGATAGCAAAAGGACCAGTTTTCTTTGACTGGATGGAGGTAGATTTTACAACTGTGTAGGTAAGAACATGCCACTCCTTTAATCTACAGAGACAATACGTGTGCCCCTTTTTAGCAGCAGTATGCACACAGGCAACTTCTGGCAGCTAGCCTTCTAAGGACCTTCAGCTTCTTCCTTACAATTTTTAGTCAGTATTTTTTCTCAACACAAAATGTGAATAGAAATAATAAAAATGCCATTTGCTATGAAGTATGGCATGTGCTGCTTAGGAAATGAATTCGGTTTTGTTTTTAAGTATCTGAGGACAGGGAGACATCTGAGGACAGGAAGACTGTCCTGGAATTAGAGGACAGTTCTGAATATTCCTAGCCCTGAGCTGGGAACCTGGAACTGTGCAGGAGATGGCAGAATGGGGGGTAGACTTCCTGGTGTGCCCACTACACCTTCTCTACATCCCTGTAGAGGGATGGAGACCAGGAGGCTCAGGGCCTGCCATGGGCTAACACAGGCTTGTGTTAGAAAAGGGAAGCATGTTATTCTGGGAGCAAGCCTTGGGCTACCAGCAAGGTGGGTAGGTTAGCTCACCAGAGCTGATACATTCCAAGGTTACCTGGTGACCTTGCTGTACAATTTACTTTTTTTTTTTTTTTTTTTTTTTTTTTTTTTTTTTTTTACACAGAATCTCATATAGGTTAGGCTGGTCTTAAATGCATTTTTTTTTAGTAAAAAAATGTCTCCAAACTCTTGATGGTCCTATTATCTCTTCGAAGTGATGGGATTACAGGCATGTATCAAGAAGCCGCAGTTTCTGCAGTGCTGGGGATTGAATCCAGGGCTTCATGCACAGTACAAAAGCACTCCAGCACTGAGCTAAGTGCCCAGTTTAGAGGATGCATGTTAACTTACAAACTACCCCTTCAGGCACCCTTCCTCAGGGTCCACAGAAGAGTGGCTAGGGGGGATGGTTACCAGGGAGGAGGGCAACCAGGGAGGACGGTGACCAGGGAAAAGAGCAGCCAGGAAGAAGGGTGGCCAGGGAGGAGGATGGCAGTACTTACTGTGAGAAGTTCTCATGAATTGAGTTAAGCAGGCTAATCTGGAGGAGTGAGAAGGAATTGTGTAAGTACAAGGCTGAAAGGTCCTCACACTACCTCAGATTGCTAGAAAGCTTGCTTAGGGCTGGGACAACAGCACTGAGGGCGAGCCTTGTCAAGCAGGTCAAGTAACACATGAAAGAACAAAAGAAAGAGCAACATGTTCTTACCTGCATAGTTTTCCTCAGAGAATCCATCACTATTTACTTAAAGAAAACTATTTTCCCTACAATGCATGACTGCAAGAATTCGGAAGGACAGCTCTTTAAAGGACGTGGCTGCCAGCTGAGAGGACTCGAGCAGCACGGCTCTTTGGACAAACTGTCAGCACAGATCATTTTGGTCTTCTGAAATGTGACTCTGTGTTGAGGCTGTCATCCCAGGTGGTCAGTGGGGAGGACAGAGAAGACACCGCCCACCCTCCACTGTCACACTCCCACCACCAACATGGCCAGCTGCCAAGTGGTCCTGAGAGCTTCTGACAAAACATACCCTTCATGGTCCTGTTCCCATGGAAACTGTCTCTGCTCTCACAGCTAGAGCCTCCACCTGACCTTATCAGACATGCAGGGAAGGGCTCTGCCTGGGGTTCCCCTGGCTGTGTACTGTTTAACCTGTTGGCTCATCCATAAGCAGTTGGCATACTTGGACCTCAGACTCACAACACACAAGATAGGGATGACATTCTTACCTTTAATGCTTTGAAAAGTGTGGGTTGTTTTCTTTGTTTTGTCTCATGTGTTTATAAGTGTAATTGCATGAGGCCAGAGAACACCTCGGCTGCCATTCCTCATGACACCAACCAGCTTGCTTTTTAAGATAGGGCCTCTCACTGGCCTGAAGCTTACCAAGGAGGCTAGGATGGGGATGGGGCAGTCATTCCCCAGAGATCTGTCTGTCTCTGCTACCCAATGCTGGGATTACAAACACAGTACCATTCTGTTCTTTCTTTGTTTTGTTGTTGTTTTCTAATATGGGTTCTGGGCATTGAGCTCAGGACCTCATGTTTGGAAGGCAAGCACTTTATACACAGAGCCATCTTCCCAGCCCCTCGGGACGGTGTCTCTCACATGGTACTACAGAACGGGATACCAGCTTCCCTTCATGGCAGCTAAGTCCCACATAATCTCCTGCTTTGCAGTGACAGACTCCCCTCCTTGGCCCAGGAAGGCAGGTTCTTTCTACTCAGACTAAATGCCTCCACCTCAGGCTCTAGGTCCATCTGAATCTTCTGAATTTACCATGCCGTCAATGGCTCGTCTGTTATTTTCTTTCCGTAAAGGCTCTTACTAGGGCTGGTGTGACGTCTTGGTGTAAAGGTGCCTGCTGCCAAGCCAGAAGACCTGAGTTCTGTTCCTGGAGCTCACAAGCTGTTCTCTGACCTCCACGTATGTACAAGCCCCTCCCCCGCAATTAATTTTAAAATGTAATAAGAAAAGAAAGAAATAAACAAGCAACGGCTCTTACCTCCTTTTCCAGATAAACCTTTTTGTCATCCAGGGTATTGTACAAAGTGAAGAACTGCTTGGTTTCCTTGTGCACTGCGGAAACTGCCAATGCAGAGAGATCAGCATCCCAGCTGAAGAAATCATTGATCCACAGCATCCTGACCCTGTGTGGCATGTGCCAAGGGCCTTATGCACACTTAATCATCATGGAAGCCTTTGCCTCTGTGTATACATGTTTGTACATGTGCATTTGGAGGTCAGAGGTTGACACTGGCTGTCTTCTCCCTCTTTACCTTACTTTTTTGAGGCAAGCTCTTTCGCTGGACCTAGAGCTCACTAAACTAGCCTTGGTGTTCAGTGAGCGTCAAGGATCTACCTGTCTCCAGTGTGTGTACCACCACGCCTGGCTGGGTACCGCTGTATGTGGACGCTTTGTCTGCATGCATGCATGTGCACTACATGTGTGCCATGGACCGTGGCGGGTACTGGGTCTCATGGATCTGCAGTTACGCACATCTATGAGTTGTCATGTGGGTGCTAGGAATTCAGCCTGGGTCGGCTGCAAAAACATGGACACTAAACACTGAACCAGCTTACCAGCCTTTAAAACAACATGATTCTTGGGATCAAGATCAAACTCAAGTCCCCAAGCTTGTAAGCACTTTATTAATGGAACCATCTCCTTAGACCCTGACAGGATGCAATCACTGGGTTGGCTGGATTATGAGAACATGACGCTCTAAAGCAACTCCAGTGAGACCCGGTGGAGCAGCATCAAGGGCCACCTGGAGATGATGGGGTGAGGATCCTTCCTAAGACGCTGGAAAGAATAGTGGGCTCAGGTGGTTAGCCACTGGAGAGCTGGCCAAAGCTGGCTCTCGAGCTCATGTACATCTACAGAGAGGACAGTAGGAGCACCAGGAGTCAGCTCCTGGGGCTGTTCAGCAGGCCCGGTGATGAAGTGCGGTCCTTTTCCAGGTAGCATTTGTGGCTGTGCTCTGGCCAATGCTGCACCCACTAGAGTGGATGGAGACTCTTGCCTCCCGTCCCTCCCGAGGCTTGATAGGCCATGTGTTTGATCAATGCACCTACTCTGACGGTAGAGTTCAATAAATCGCTTCTGATACTGTATCAGCTCTGCTCGACTGGGCACTTCGTCAATCTTGCGATGCAAAATCGCTATTTCTCGATTTCTTCGAGCCTAAATGCAAAGAGGTGGGGAGAGGACATTTGGTAAAGGGCGTTCTGTATTTGTCTGCTCCCCACACCCTGAGCTGGCAACAAAGACACACATACGGCTACTGGCTGGCGGTCCTCATGTGGGATCGCGACTGACCTGAGGACAGGCAGTGAAGGAAGAGTCGCAGGTGACAGGTGCCATCCTGTTTCCTCTCCAAAATGTACTCTCAAATCCTCTACTTGGAAGCTCACAACTGGCTCCTCACACCCTTTTTGCAGGGAGATCGTCCTATCAGGTGTACGGGAGACAGCGGGGTGTTGCTCCTAAGTCTGGTCTCCGTAGCTCTGGACTGAAGGATGCAGCCAAGGCTATGCACCCTGTCAGTGCTTATAGGTACTTGCCCTCATGGGAATCTTAAGGCAGAACCAATCAATCTTTAAAAATGGGTTTTTGTTAGTTTTTTTTGTTTATAATATGTGCCATGGTAGGTGGTAGAATTCAGAGGACAATTTGTGGATGTTCTTCCGCTTTTACCATGTGGGTCACGGGGATCAAACTCAGGTTGTGAAGGATGGAATCTACCTCTAGGTGGAGACAGACCCTTGTTTCCTCCCTTAAGGCCTTGTTGGTCCTGAGGTGAGGGAGCAGGCCAGGAGGCTACCCCTATGAGGTGGGTTCATGTCAGGATAAGGTCATTTTCCTTCCCCCAATCCCTGCTTCTCAGGGCAGTCCCTGTGAATTGCCATTACATTTGGATTGGTCTGCCTGCCTGCCTTTCTGAGTCCAGACTGCAGTGTTAATGATTCCTTTTTCTCTTCTTTGTCCTTCTCTTTCTAATGCTGGGAAGAGCCTAACTATACTTTTAAAATGGCTAACCAACGCCATGGGCCTTTTGCTCTTTTTCCAAAGCTGCCCTCCCTTCTGTGTTTCTGTGCGGCTGACCTCGACTCTCCTCTTCATGCTTCTTCCGGGCAGCTCTGATTCACAGCCTGCCTTAAAGGGGTTTTCCTTTAAGCTCTAATTGATAAATTGTCCTTGAGCTTCTGTTTCAGTCTGTTCATAACTCTTTTATTAATGAAGCCAAGAACCCCACAAGGGAACCTCGGTTGCCCTAGCACCATACGATGGCTCTGCTGGATTCCCCAAGATTTCTAGTGACCCCTCCCTCCTGCCTTCCGATTCTTCAATAAGCAGAGCCTGTCCCTGCGCTCCTACATAGCAGGCGTACACTTGCCTCCTGGCATCTTTGTTCTAGCTTGGCCTCAGCCTTGCCTCGCTGGTAGTCTGTGTGGCATTTCCCACAAAACAGCCTTGTACTTTGGCATATATGGGCAGATCTTGGTCCTCAGATAACTAGTTCCTAGAGGCCAGGTCTTCCCAGTTCCTGTTACTGGGACCTGACGCATGGCTGAATATGTAGGAAGTAGCTAGTCAGGGTCTCCATACATCAGCAGGGCTCAGACTGTATTAATTCTATGTACCTATAAATATTTGCACTTGATCTTACTGAAGGCTGAGAAGCCATCTTTAAATATTTGAAGGGTACTCATGCATGGTCGTGCATATCTATAATCCCAGCACTTGGGAGGTAAGGTAGGATTATCAGAAGTTCAAGGACAGCTGGGGCTACACACAGAGTTTGAGCTATAAGACACCCTCTCAAAACATTAAAAATCAAAATAGTGCTCCTGTATCAGGAACATATGTGACTCATCTGAATTTAACCAAATATCACACAAAATAATTAAGAGCCAGGAAGGCAAGAATAACCTCTCCTAAGCTCCCAAAGCCCCATGGTCATTCCTACCAAAGGTTGACTTCAACTACCCCCACCCCCACCACCAAGAAAAGGAAAGTGGCCCAAATCAACATGATGTAAGACAGGCAAGGGCCTTTATTTTATTTTTTTTTGAGGGGGGGGGGCGGTCCTGAATCTTCATGAGCCAGATGCTGGCAATACAACAGACTCAGAAATATAGAATTGATTGTGCTTAGGTTTGGAGCTGGCTTTACAATCTCCTTGCTCCAGATAGTAAGTAGACCTGAACTGAAATCCTGCCTCTGGGACCTAGCTGAGGTTTGCCTTTGGAGAGACAGCCTCCTTGAATTATTTTTTATCATTTTATGTGCATAGGTGTTTTGCCTGCACGTACATGTATGTCTGTGTACCATGTGGGTACCTAGTGCCCTTGGAAGTTAGAAGAGGGTGCTGAATTTCCTAGAATTGGAGTGAAAGGTGGTTGTGAGCAGCCATGTGGGTGCTGGGTCAAGTGGAAGATCAACCAGTATTAACTGCTGAGCCATCTCTTCAATGCCCTCCAGATTCTATTTTCCTTTTTAATGATATGTATTTGTGTGTTTATATGTGTGTGTGTGCACATACATAAACACATGAGTTTATGTGTTTATGGGGGGGTGCACATGAGTATGGGTACCTATGGAGATCAGAAGAGGGTGTCAGATTCCCTGGAGTTGGACTTACAGGCGGCTGTGAGGCACTCTCTGCAAGAGCAGCAAGTGCTCATAACTGCTTAGCCATCTCCCCAGGCCCCTAAACCTATGTTTTTCCACATAGAACTATTATAATCATGAGGCCAATCATATCTACTCTGCATGTAAGGTGAAGTTCAACTCCAAACAGCAATACTGAAAGTAACAGACATTTGTGGTGCTGTCAGCAGCACCACCTTCCACCACGGCATGACTGGATGCAAAGACAGACCCTGGTCACTCTACTTCTAATATACTGAGACCTTCTGTTCAATCACAGGGCATTCATACCAGCCAGGCGTCTCTGTGCTCCCCTGGTGGACACTCACCTGTAGTAACCGGATCTTGTACAGCTTCTCTTTTTCCATGTTGTACCGTCTGTCCAGGTCCTCCTAAGAGCGAGAACAGGCAGGCTACAGTTATCTAGGATGGAACTTCCATTCTCTGGTGGAGTCTTTGGAAGTTGAGTGCATTAGCTTGAGCCTCAAGTTCCTTCTCTCAAATGGCCAAGTTTAGAACCTTATACCTGTGAGACACTTCCACAATACATCCTAAATATTCCTTTTATTAGGATCCTGACTGAATCCAATGTTCTATGTAGAAGAAAAAAAATATTTATTATGACTGTGGAGGGACAGGTATGTTCCACAGAGTGAACTGTGGAGGTCAGAGGACAACTTTGTGGAGTTGGTTCTCTTTCCACCACATGTGGGTTCTGAGGATTGAACTCATGTCTTGTAATGCAAGTACTTTACCTGCTGAGCCACCCCACCCGCCCTGAAATCCAATGTCCTTAAGTGAGTCCCTCCCTTGGGCTCCTGAAGCCCCCTTATCTCAGAACACCTACAACAAAAGGGAGACAACACATTGCCTTAAGAGTCTTTGCTCTATGTCTCTGTGTTTTCAGCTAACACTGTTTCTGCCTGGACCTGAAGTATCCAAAATGACAACCACTAACCTTACATGTCTATATAAACAAACTTGCATCAAGTAAAATAAGAAAAATAAATCAGTCTCTCAGTTGCAATAACTGTTCACTATGTGTGGGAAGATGCTTATGCAAACATCTTCATTACAGAAAGTTCTTTTTGGACAGAGCTAATGCATAGGTGGGGCTCTACAAGGAACATGGGGAAAAAAAACACCTGGACAGTCTGTATCTCAGAGAACATTACAGAAGGGGCATGTGTGCCCAAGAACACACATAGCACCTGCACAGTTTCTCGCACAGGCTCAGCTGTAGTTGATGCCTAACAGGTATCACTGAAGGAGTCCCTTGTCCAGGCTCCTAACAGGTTACGAAGAACCACCCTTAAAGAAGGTCCTGCTTGGTATCCCCTGCTCCCTTCCTAGTCCTCTTCTTTACATGGAACAAGTAGTATTTTAACTCATGTCAGGATTCATCAAACTAGAGCATGCTATGGATAGCATATAGCCTTTGAGCCATGTCTGACTTTTGGCCTGTTACTGTAAAGAGAGTTGAGCTAGAATATAGTCATGTTCATTTATTTATAAAATATGTGATATAATGTCATCACTTATAAAGTTCATGCTTAAAACATGCGATTAAGTTACCAAAAAAAAAATTCCTCATATTTTAAGTAAGTTTACGTTGAGATTTGTGTTGTGCTGCAGGTTGGACACACCTGATACATAGCATGGCAGCTGGAGCAAAGAAAGCAATTTCCCCTCCTCACCACCCTTTCACTCCTCAGGGCTCATGTGGCCAACACAGGCCTCCTCTGGCCGAGGAGTGAAATGTCTACAATGGTGCCATGCCTCCAGCAGGCCAGCAGAAGAGGAGGTGGCTATACAGACTATACCAGGCTGGGAAACTGTGCTAGGAGGACGGAAAGGGGGCTGACACATTCTTCAGAACAATGCCAAGGAGGAGGAGATACTTACGTTGTGAGTCATGGTGGAGGTCAGCGCGCCCTTTGGCTCTCCACTGTGGAGACTCTGAAAGGATGGAAATGCGGTCAGCACCTTTGCTCAAGGTGGAGCAGACAGAAGCTGTGTATCTACACTCCACAGACAGGAGGTGTGAGGAGCAACTGCGGGGCTGAAGTGAACCTCTGTTTTCTGAAGAGTGGCCAGATGATTTGAGAATTCCAGATCTTAGGTTTGCCAGGTACACCCCAATAAGCTGGCTCTTCTGAGTGTGTGTATGTGGGGGTGTCGGTGTTGCTATCTTCATCAATCACTCTCCACCTTACTTACTGTAAAATGAGTGTTTGTGCATGTCAGAGGACAACTTGCTGTGCCTTCCCTTTAGCATGTGCGACCCAAGGATCAATTAGGTCATCAGCACTTGGTGGTAGCACTTTTACTGCATGTCTTATCTTTCTGAGACTCAGGCTCTTCAATGAACCTGGAATTTAACCAGTTTGGCTAGACTGGCTGGCCAGTGAGCTTCAGGGATCCTTCGGTGTCCACCTCCTTACTGCCTAGCTTCTCCACAGGGGCTGGGTCCTTACACTTGCACAGCAAACAGTTTATCCTTTGAGCCAGCCCCTTGGAGCTCGTTCTCAATAGAAGAATTCCTTTGATGGGATGTGATGAGGCAGAAATGTGATCTCTGCCAACTCAGAGGCCAGTGGAGCTGACAATGGCTAAAAGGCTCAAAGCTGGAGAAGTACCTGAAGACAGCCTGTGCTGCATTCCTGTCTCTGTTGTTCATTCCTCCTCTCTCATGGAAGTGGACCGCTCAGACTGAAATGACATAGCAGCTCTAAGGCCTTGGCCTGTCTGGCTTGGGCAGCAGTGTTGTGCATGGCCCGATGTCGACTGGAGAGTGCTAGGCACAGTGGTGGAATACATGGCAGAACACATGGGAGCTGAGACACAGACCTTTCCTTCCCTGACCTTCCCATTCTCCTGCTGCAAGTGCAGGGCGGGTTCATTGAGTGGGATCCTGGGTCATGACCATCCCACACCAGAAGCACAAGGAGATAACCTTTGGATAAAGTGCGGTAAAGGAAAATGAATAAAATCCAAGAAATCCACAGGGTCTCGTGGCTCAGGCCTGTAATCCAGCAACTCAGAAGGCTGAGGTAGAAGGATCCAAGTTCAAGGCCACTCTGAATAAAGCAGTGTAGTGAGATATTCTGGGATGTACCTTAGTGACAGTGCTTGCCTAACATGCATGTGCACTTGAATTCTGGGAAAGCAAACATTCAGGAAAACAGACTTGAGCTTAGACCCAGGGTGTCAGGCACACACTTAAGCCAGAATGCTTATACATTTCTGGCCTCTGTGTTTGTTTTTTTGTTGCCTTTTGGGAGTGGGCCACATTTCTAAGTAGAGGTGGAGGGAGGGTTTGGAGTTCTGTGCCTGTAGCTGCTCCTTCCACACCCAGAAGAAGATAAGAGCCAAGAAAATCACACACACACACACACACAAAATGCTATGTGTGCTGAGCACAGTGCGTGCTAAGGTGTACACAGTGCGCAGAAGCTGAAGGAAGGCTTCCCGTGCTCCGCTCTATTTTCCTCTGCCTTAGTTCCTTAAGATAGAGTCGTACCCTGAACCTAGAAGTAGGCTGGTAGTCAGAGAGGCCCCGCAATCCTCCTGCCTCCACCCACTACACTGATGGGGGTATAGGCCTTTGTAGCCGTGCTTGCCCCATCTTTTAAAAAAAGAAATATTTATTTTTATTTCATGTGTCTGAGTGTTTTACCTGCACTGTATGCCTGTGTACCACCTCGTACCCTTGGGGGCCAGGAGAGAGCATCAGACCCCTAGAATTGAAGTTACAGAAGGTTGTGTCACCCTCTGCATGCTGGGAATTGAATGAGTGCCGCTGGAAGAGCAGTTAAGTGCTCTTAACCACGAAGCCACCTCTCCAGCCACTCCAGTCTAGCTTTTTGCACAGGTGCAGGGGACTAGAACTCAGGTGCTCATGGAGCAAGCACTCCCACCCAGTGAGCCATCTCGCCAATTCTGGGAGATGCACATTTACAGGCCCAGCTCAAGTAAACTGGCGTGCTTTTTGGAACATGACTAATGCTGGTGCTGAGAGCATGGCTGTTCTCCCCAGGCTCGATTTAGCTGTTGCTGTCTTTAAACAGTGTAGCTGGGCTGAACAGCGTGAGACCTCCCATCCCATCCAAGAGGTAAGAGCTAATCTACTGACCACAGGGGGGCTCTTAGTGGCACAGCTGCCCCTAAGCTGCTAGGAACCCCCTTTTGGGTAGTTGCCTGTGAGTCACCCAAGCCCCTGGAACCAACCCCAAACAAGAAAATATATTACATTGGTTCACCAAGCCAGACTTAGGCAGAACCCGTCCCTGGCCTGTGAGAACATGGAGAAAGGAAGAGTCCCGGCACTGAACTGCTGCAATCCTTCCTCAGCCAGCCAGAAAGCAGCTGGTGGCACTGAGGGCTAACTGAAACCTTTACCTTCTCGCTTGGCGCTCTCTCAGCTTTGAGGGTCTCGATGTCCTGCTGTAGCCGAGCCATCTCCTCCTGGAAAAGCAACATGAACCTTTACAAGGTCAGATAAACCCCCATCGGAGGTTAACTGTTAAACCAGACGTGTTTTGCTTTTACATTTATGTTCGTGTGTGTATTCATGCTCATATTGTGCACCCTGGCATGTTAGAAGTCAAAGGATAACCTATGGAGTCAATTTTTCTCTGTCCACAGTGTGCATCCCTGATGCACAGCCCTGGCGGCACTGTTACGCACTGTTAGCTGAGCCGCCTTGCCTGCCCAGCTTAACTACTCGACGCAGACATTTCTTTCATTGGTTGTGGCAGGACAAAAGCCAGCAGGGAAGCAGGTGCTCTGCTTCCACTTGCAAACTCACCCCTTCCTGGAAAAGAGCTTTCCCAGGCATGCAAGAACAGAACTCACTTCCGCCACCGTCACCTCCAGGCCCGAGTCAGCCGTTTTCACTGCACAGGCCAGGATGCCCAGCGGCACCAGGAAGGCCAACGGAGAGCCTCAGCACAGCTCCCGTCTGGCCACCAACACCACACAGCACTTACCCGGCAGTGCGCTTTGAACTCTTGCTCCTGGCTTTTCAGACTTTCATTCATGGCTACGAGTGCTCTCAGGCTCTGCAGAATGCTGGGGAGACAGCAGACAACGGCACAGGATGGGCCATTACGACGTGATTTTATGAACTGCCGCTAAGGCCACATTGAGAATACAAAGACTTCCTTTTTAATTTCCTTTGTTTTCCTCAAGGCTGTAATGGGAGTGCCACAAATGGTCATGACTTCTATCTCCGACTATGCATTTGGACCCTCAAGCCCATGAGGAGACAAAAACATATATGACAGGATTCTAGAATGAGAATGTCAACTCTGGAACTATGAATGAACTTCAGTAGTACTCACTTATCATTTATTTACCTATACTCAGGGTAAACACACTATCAAAACCCACGTGCGTGTGGTCTGTGCACGTATGTGTCCGTGTGTATGCCTGTGTGTGTGCACGTGTATGTGTGTGTGCACGTGTATGCCTGTGTGTGTGTGCAGGTGCGTGGGTGGCAGCTACAGGATGATCTCACATGTTGTTCTTCAGGTGCAAGCCCCCATTTCCTTACATGTATTTATTTTGTGAGTGAGTGTACTTGTCAGCATGTGTGGAGGTCTGAGCACAACTTGTGGGAGTCAGTTCTCTCCCGCCATGTGGGTTCCTGGAAGTAAACTCAGGCCATCAGACTCCATAGTGAGCACTTCACCCCATGGAGCTGACTCAGCAGCCTGTCCCTCCCCGTGTTCTCCGAGGCCCGAGACCTGACAAGTACTTTAGCCTGGCTGGCCGGCAAGTGCCAGGGCCTTGTCTCTGCCTCCCTGGCTCTGGGATTACAAGGCACCACTACGTTCAGCCCTTTCAGGTTGGATCTGGGACACTAAACTTAGGTTTCCATGTGCCCCCAGCCCTGTTTCACTGTTTTTAAAATCAGAGCACCAGAACAAAACTGCTGTGATCACAAGGAGAGCTGAGGAGAGGAGGATGACTGGGTGCAGCCCAGCATCTCTGTGAGCAGCAGGGTGATTGCTGTTCCCTGCCAGATGAGACGTTATCTGAATTTCCATAAAGCTCCAGCCCATGACCTCTGGCTCCTCTGCCCCTGGATCAGACAAATCAAAGTCAGACACTGCGGCCAGTTTCCTCAAAGGGATGACGGCACATGCTGAAGCCCTTACCTCGGGTCGGCTTTGGCTTCTAATTTTTCCAGGGCTGCCTGCTCTTTGTCTAGCTTCTCAGTCTGATTCTTCAGCTGCAAGAGAGAACCAGGGCATCACTGGCTATAAAAGCAAACAGGAGGGTGTGCTCCATGAGCCACCCTGCCTCCGGGCTCATTTGAGATAAGTGACCCAGTCCACTGGATTTTGTTATACGCTGAGAAAATAGATGGGCCTGAAGATGGGAGAGAGGGGGAGAGGCTGCAGGGGAGCGTGCTCTGGCTATGGAAACTGTGGCAGCGACTCCACAGTGTTGAGAAAGAGGAGGAAAGAACCCAAGGCAATGCTGATAGCAATGCGCTTGGAGTAGGAGAAGGGTAAGCACAACCCAACACCCTCCTCTCCATACCCACACAACAACATACCCACCCCCACCCAGAAAGAGAGAAAAAGAGAGAGAGGCAGTCAAACAGACAGAGATAGACAAGGAGGGAAGAGAAAGAGTAACTAGTGTCATGACAGGGCTAAAACTTCCCAGCCTCTTGAATGGTGTACTGTCTGGTTTTGCGTCAACTTGACATAAGCTAGAGTCATCAGAGAGGAAGGAGCCTCAATTGAGAGCATGTCTCCATAAGATCAGGCTGCAGGCAGGCCTATACAACATTTTCTTAATTAGTGATCAATGGAGGAGGGCCCAGCTATTATGGGTGGTGCCATCCCTGGGCTGGTGGTCCTGGGTTCTATACGAAAGCACACTAAGGGAGTCATGTAAAGCCAGCCAGTAAGCAGCACCCTTCCATAGCCTCTATATCACCTCCTGTGAAGTTCCTGCTCTTTGATGTCCTGACTTCCTTTGATGAACAGTGATATGGAAATGTAAGCCAAACAAACCCTTTCTTCCCCAACTTGCTTTTATGATGTTTAGTCGCAGCAACAGAAACTCTAACATCTTCTTCTGAGTTAGCTAACAACAAGAAATCTTGAAGAAAATGCAGATTTTAACGCACAGCAGCAGACTTCTGTGCATGGTGTATGAGTGAGCACATATGCACCTGCCTGAGCGGGTGCCTGTGGAGTCAGATGCTCATGCTCAGAAGTCTGTCTCCGCTTTGGCTCCCATAACTTTATTTTCTGTGACCTGATCTCTCACTGAAATAGAAGGTCAAGGTTTTGCTAGCCTAGCTGTCTAGTGGGCTGCTGGGATCCACCTATCTTCATGCCCCAGTGCCGGGGTTACAAACACCACCAACATGCCCGGCTTTGACCTGGACAATCAGGCTCTGAACATACGCCCTTATGCTTACACAGCAAGCATTTTACCCACTGAGCCATCTCTTTAACCCTTCTACTGTTTTGTTTTTAAGTACATCTTTTACAAAGACCTAGAAAGCAAGGTCTAAAACAATGACCATGGCAAACTCCGTGGCATATAAAGAAATATGCACATATGGGCTGATAAGCTGGCTTAGCAAGCCTGATATCCGAATTTAGTCCTGGAATCCCCATGGTGGTAGGGAACCACCTTCCACAATTTGTCCTCTGACCTCTACACATGTGTGTACAGCAAAGGACACTGTCAACAGAACAAAACGACAGCCTACAGCCTGGGAAAAGATCTTCACTAACCTTCCATCTGACACAGGGATAATATCCAAAATATATAAAGAACTCAAGAAATCAAACACCAACCAACCAAATAATCCAATTAAAAAATGGGGTACAGAGCAAAACAGAATTCCAACAGAGGAATATCGAATGGCTGAAAGACACTTAAAGAAATGTTCAACATCCTTAGTCATCAGGAAAATACAAATCAAAATAACTCTGAGAGTCTATCTTATATCCATTAGAATGGCTAAGATAAAAAACTCAAGTGACAGCACATGCTGGAGAGGATGTGAAGAAAGGGAAACCCTCCTCCAATGCTGGAGTACAAAATTATACAACCACTTTGGAAATCAATCTGGCACTTTCTCATAAAATTGGGAATAGCACTACCTCAAGACCCAGCTATACAACTCCTGGACATATACCCAAAAGATGCTCCACCATACAACAAGGACACTTGGTCAACTATGCTCTTAGCAGCTTTATTCAAAATAGCCAGAATTTTAAAACAACCTAGATGTCCCTCAACTGAAAAATGAATAAAGAAATTTTGGTACATTTACACAATGGAATACTACTCAGCTATTAAAAACAAGGAAATCATTAAGTTTGCAGGCAAATGGATGAAACTAGAAAAGATCATCCTGAGTATAGTAACCCAGACCCTGAAGGACACTCATGGTATATATTCACTTATAAGCGGATATTAGCCATATAATACAGGATAACCATACTACAATCCACAGACCTAAAGAGGCTATGTAACAAGGAGGACTCTAGGAGAATGCTTAATTCTCATTCAGAAGGCAAAAGCGGAGCCAGTTGAAGAGAGACAACAGGACAAGAGCCCCCACTAAATGTCTCCTGAAAGACTCCACCCAGCAGGGATCAAAGCAGATGCTGAGATTCACAGCCAAACTTTGGACAGAGTGCAGGGAATCTTATGGAAAAGTATGGAAATAGAAGGACCCAGAGGGGACAGGAGCTCCACAAGAAAACCAACAAGGCCAAAAAATCTGGGTCCAAGGGCCCCTGCGGAGACTGATGTACCAACCAAGAACCATGTACGGAGAGGACCGTGACCCCCTGCTCAGATGTAGCCCATAGGCAGCTCAGTCTCCATGTGGGTGCCCTACTAAGGGGAGCAGGGCCTGTCTCTGTCATGGACTCTGTTTCCTGCTGTTTGATCACGTCCCCCAAGAAGAGGCGGACTTGCTAGGCCACAGAGGAAGAGGATGCAGGCAGTCCTGATGAGACTTGATAGGCTGGAATAAGATGGTAGGGGTGGGGGTGCTCCCCCTTTCTGAGGACTAGGGGATAGGTATAGGGGGTAAGAAGGAGGGAGGGTGGGACCAGGAGGAGATGAAGGAGGGGGCTACAATCAGGATGTAAAGTGAATAAATTAAAACAAATTTAAATAAAGAAAAGAAAATGGCAGCACAGCCAGGTGTTGCATCAAACCCCTCTCATCTCATCTCCAAATAATCCAGGCTATGAGGCTGGAACATGAAAGCGGGTTAACTCATGGGACAAGACAGAAGGCTAGCAGATGGGAATGGCTATGGAGAACTAGCCAGCATGGGTGAGAAGAATGGTTGGGAAGGCTGAGTCCTGTATTAGGAGAGCCAGGTTGACTGACAAAGCAATGAAGTCCGATTCCACTACATACAAGAGAGCATCTCAGGGCCCCAGATGGCTGGCAAGAGAGCAAGGAGAATGGGAAGCTTCCCAGCTCTGAATATCTGTTGCCAACAGCTCATTTGCCATGTAGAAGGCAGCACCCTTTCCAAGATACAATGGAAGCAAGCTGCCATGATGGTTAATACTGAACTTGTCAGGAGCTGGAATCACCCCTGAGACAAGCTCTGGGCATACTTGTAATAAATTAGCCAGGTTAGGTCAGCTTCTGAGCAAGCCCAGGAGTTTTTCGTCATTAGGTTCACTGAGCTGGGAAGGCCCACCCTACAAGTCTGAAGCGCTATCCCATGGGCTGGTGCCCTAAACTGCAGAAAAAGGAGAAGGTGAGCTGAGCACCAGCATCCATCTGCCTGCCTCCTGACTGGATGTGGCGAGGCCAGCTGCTTCAAGTTCCTGCAGCCTTGACTTCTGCACTACAGGGAGCTACATGCTTCAGCTGTGAGCCAAACTGAAGCCTTCCTGAAGCTTAAGCTGCTTCCTGCCAGGGGTTTGGTCACAGTAACAAGGGAAGTAGCTGTGGAGAGTATACAGTATTGACAGGTGGAGAGAGGAAACTTTACACCAGATGAACATATAACCTAGAACCCTCAAACATCTGCACACAGGCAAAAACCGGTGTATCAACTTGTAAACGAATTCTGACTAAAGAGACAGCAATAGAGCAATGTAAGACTTAGATACAAGGAGTGCCCACCACAGAGACCTGGGACCTGCTCATTCAGAAGGCGTTAGGCTTCCAGGGAGGGAATCAGAACTGACTGGTAGGACTGCCATACAGATAGAGGTTAGAGCTGAGGGCCCATGCCACGGAGGCAGCCAGCTCATGTCCTGCCCTTCCTGGGGAGGTTGTGGCTGTCTCCGCGGGTGTCATGTGCTAGTACCATCTGTCTGCCACCTTCCATGCCCTGCTTCGCTTAAGTGGGAAAACCAGTCTATTTTCATCAAGGTAGTCTGTCCTGGAAGGGCAGGTTTCATAGAAATGGAAATTAGATCTGTGTCATGAGAGGGCTCAGAGCACTCATGTCTGACCACGCACTGCTGGCCGAATGATGCTTTCATTAGCTGGTGTGGCGGTGACAGGTCCTGTCCTCAGAGTCTAGTCCACAGCAGGGAAGATAGGTTTTGTGGCAGTGCTTGACCCGAGCCATCACTGTATCCACACTGCAGTGATGTGACCTGGTGACTGTGCACCCTCAGGCCACTGTCAACAAGTGGGAAGATCTGCTTACCTCTGTCAGTGTCTTCTTCGTGTCACTGTACTTGGCTTGGAGGCTGTTACGATTCGCTTGCAGCTGAGTGAGAGAAAAAGGACATTCACTTCAGTGGAATCCTTTGCTCTGTATAGATGTCAGTGGGATCCCTCTTTTACAATGAGAAAGTAGAAACCAGAAAGGCCAAAACTGACTTGAACTGTACGACTTCCATTTTAATTTTTCAACAATTCTCTATTTGCTTGTATGGTCGGCTTTCCAGGGAGACTATATGAAGGTCTTCCAAAACAGTCCCACCTATTATCAAGAACTATGAAGGACCTCCTTAACAGCTCTCTTAAGAAATGTCACTTGGGGCTGGTGAGATGGCTCAGACAGTAAGGCGCCTGCACCACGCCTGATGATCTGAGTTCAATCCCCAGGGCTCATGTGTTAGAAGGAAAGAACTGATTCTAGCAAATTTTTGTGTGACTTCCATGACACATACCCCATCTCACAAATAAATGAGACATGCTGATCTGGTTCTCCACTCCCTGCCATCACCAGCCTATCTACCACAGCTGCCTCCCTTATCCTTCTTGCCCACACCACACGCCATGCAGAACGACAGGCAGCACATGCTACTGCCCTGCCGCAATTCTCTGCAGCTTCCACAGTTCTCCGGGCACAAGGTGCTCTGTCACCAGTCTGCCCATGACATAGCTCACACCAGACTCCTCAACTACCAGACAGGAACTGGCCAATGCTTCCTCTTTGATTATTTTGCTTCGAAAATCTCCACTGGCTCCCCAACATCTCCATGCAGACCAGTCAATACCTATTCATCTCTCCAGACTCAGTCAGCCGTGACTTCGGGCTTAGTTAGTTCTATTAGTCACCAGCTCCGGGACCTCCCCTTCAGGCCCTCATCACCACGGTAACTAAATGGCGAGTGTGACGGCTGTTTCACTTACCGCAGGTCGCCAGTACCCTCTAGGGTCCTGGCGGGCAATGCCCTTACCCGGTACTCATTCACCTCTGCAGTTTAGATCAGCGCTTAGCACACACAACACTACGTGTTTGTGTAGAAATAACATTTTGATCCTGTATATTTTCACGTGTGTGTGTGTATACGTGTGTGCACACAGAAGCAATAAAAACAGGGTCAGGCAGCTAGTTACAGCTAGCTGTGAGTGGCAAATGTGGGTGCTGGGAACTAGAACACATGTCCTGTGCAAGGGCAGAAAGACCTTCCACTGGCTAAGCCCTCTTCCCTGCCTTGTCCTGTATCTTCTGTGACAGGGGTTAGCAAACTCTTCCTATGAAGGACCAGACAGTAACTAGTTGAGGTTTGTGGGTCATTTGGTCTCTTCTACAAGTATTCAACTCTCTTACAGTAGCTTGAAAGCAGTCACAAAAAAACAAGTAAGCAAATGAGTGTTTAGCTGTTAAAAAAAACAAAAAACAAACAAACAAACAAAAAACCCTTTACTCACAGGGTTGGGGAGAGGCTTAGTGGACAGAGCGCCTACCATGCAAGCCTGAAGACAGAAGACTGGACCCCTAGAACTCATAGATGACTGTGGCAACTTGCCTCCCGTTCCAGTGCATAGGAGGCAGAGACAAGGGATATCCCTGGCAACTTAGCTAGACTAGTCAAACTGGTTCAGCCGCTGGCTTCTACATGCCATTTAGGCACAGGTACGCACATCTGCGCAGCAGTACCTCCACATACCTGCAAACAAGCACACGCACCTAGAGTGGACTGAGGACTGCAGTACACCTGCGCTAGAGCTCCCTCTGACCAATCTACAAGGCTCGCTCGTTCGTTCGTTCGTTCGTTCGTTCGTTCATTCATCTTTCTGATTTCTCTCCTCTCGGAAGAATCAAGTTTATTAGCTCAAGTGGAAATATAAAAACACTCACCTCTTCTAGATGTTTAGTCTTCTGCAGAATCTGCTTATTCAAGGACATGACTTTCCGCTGATGTAGTTGGGAGGTTCCTAGTTTTTCTGGACTTTCTTCAGCAGACAGCTCGGACTGCTGTGGGGAAACCCAAAGCAGATAATGAACTCAACTTCCTTCTCCATTCAGGTCGTGTGTCTGTACTCAGTGTAAGCAATGCAGTTCTGGGCAGCCAGTCACACACAGCAGGGCATCTGTCATGTCCTGCTCAGAACCAAAATCTAGACAGGGAAAGTCTGACACAACAACTGAGGTGCCAGTCAGCGATTCTGCTTTGGAGCAGGGGAAAGCATGGGTGCAGGCTGCCCAGCTAAGGTCAACAGAGGGTCTGAGTGCGGGACCAGAGGTCTTAGTGGTTTCTTCATAAGACCACCTGGAATCATCCAGAGTTACAACCTGGGGCTGGCTAGATGACTAAGTGGGAAAAAGCACCTGCTATCACGCATGTCAAGTTTGATCCCCCAGAGGTATAGGCTGTCCTCTGATCTCCACATGTATACAGTGGTACATGTGCAAAAACAGACACATACACAAACACACACATACACAATAAATGAACATAATAAAAAATTAAAAGCTGTAAACTGATTCACTTCCATCAAAGCTCTATAGTATGTAGTTGCAAAGACTAATCATTTCCGAGCATGAATAATAAGAAGCAAGTTCTTCATCCTACTCATCCCCGACACCCCCCCCCCCCCCCCCCCCCCCCCTTACCTATCTTCTCTTTTTAAAGAAGACAGTCCAAGAAGGAGAAAGTTGCCAAAGAAGGCATATAGTAAACTTCTGAGGGGGCAGGAGAAGGGCAAACAGGCATAAAGACTGTAAGAACTGCAGGGGGGAAAGGAGAGATTTCTGGATAGTGTCATAGGGTGAATGACTGACACTTTCTAAAAGAGGTGATGACTAGTACTAAGGGGTGATGCAAGCATGGAAGCAAGGGCTAGGGAAAGATGGCTCAATGGCAAAGGTGCTTGCCAACAAGCCCCAGGCCCATCATGGTGGAGGAAGAGAATTTACTCCCAAAAATTGTCATCTGACTTAAATGCATGCTTCCCAACCCCTGCCAGTCCCACAGTTTTTTTGTTTTTGTGTTTTTTTAAAGAAAGTAAGAAACTTGGTACAGAAAGCTGATAGAAACTTCTATCTCAATGACAAGAGGAGCCTGGCGAGATGGCTCAGCCATTAAAAGCACTTACTACCCCTGCACAGACACTGCTTCAGTTCTCAGCATATAGATGGTGCCTTACCACTACTTGCAATGCCTGTCCAAGGGGATCTGATGCCCTGTCTGGCCTCTGTGGTTACCAGGCACATACAACATGGAGGCAAAAACATTGAGAAATCTTTTTAAGAGGAACCCTTGGAGAAGAGACAGAAAGATCTGCTTGATGCAGTGCAATCCCTGTAAGAGACAGCTTTACTCAACAACCAAATGGCCCTCACAGCCCCAAGCCCAAGCTAAGCAGTGATTTGCAGCCTCAGTGTGGCAGAGCCCTTGGGTAACTTACTGTCCCTGCATGTTCCCCCAGTGCTCGGAAGAGTGAAGAGAGCAGCCCTGCGGAAGAGCGATGGCAACAACAGGGAGGGGGGAGAGGGAGGAGGAATCTGCAGAGGCATAAGCTCTGCTTATGTTGCTGAGGCTTTCCCTCAGGAACTTACACCACTGCTAACAGACGATCAAAGTTTTCTGTTGATTTGTTTTGCTGTTTAATGACTCTGGCGTTTGGGAACAGTGGGCTGGGTATGGCCACAGTGAAGAGCCGGGAGGAACATTCTGTATACTGAGGCTGACAGGCCAGAAAGGAAACAGGACACCCCTGGGGCTGGAGAGATGGCTCAGCAGTCAAGAGGGTACAGTGCATTCACAGAGGACTAGAGCTCCAGAGTTCAGTATCCGGCACATGATTGTGCCCGGCAGCTCACAACCATCCTTAACCTCCACTCTTGGAGCTCTGATGGCTCTGGCCTCCAAGAGCACCTGCCTGCACATGTGTATGCATGCATACGAAAACGCAATTAAAAAGAAGTAGGAAATGAAATATTAGGCATCGTAACTCAGCGCTTTAAAAACACAACCATTTGCCCACGTGATGGTTGGTATTGACTGTCAGCTTGACAGGCTCTGCGATCACTGAGGAGGCAAGCCTCCAGGCACTCCTGTGAGGGGTTACGTTGATTGGGTTAAATGAGGTAGTAAGGCACTCAGCTTGCTGGATTTCTGGAAACTGAAGTTAACATTTTAAGAATAGTTTTGTATGTATCGAGGTACAACACATAGCCTAGGGCAGAATAAGCGCTTTCTGAACTATCTGAGGGCAGAGGGAAAAGGGCAACAGTAAAGCCTCCTACTCTCAATCACTTCAAAGCCAGAGCTGCGGTGGAGTCACCGGACCTTACCCGCTTTGACTGCCCATCCTCAACAATACTATTAACCTGACCCTGTTTATAGCTGGCAGCTCTTTCCAAGTGACATCTAGTACACAACCTCGCCCAACACTGACCTCCAAAGCACCACAGGCAGAGATAGCAACATGTCACGTTACTATCAGAAGTCGGTAGGTCCGCCGTTCTGTTTACAGTGTGGCTCTACCTTTGCCCAGGCTATGCTAGAACTGAGGGCCGCAGCAGAGGATGACCTCGGAAGTGCTGGGGCCACAGGGGTGCACCACCATGCTTCATGTGCGCGTGCATGCCAGAGTCTCACTCTGTACCCCAGGCCATCTTTAGAACATTACATAGTCTGAAATGGCCTCAAATTCTCCCTCAATTGCTTTTATGGTCAGTCTCCAGAATAAAAACTGCCTTTTTTTTAAAAAAAAGCTTTTTATAGTAATAATAAACACTAGGGCATTACCTGTCGTCTCCATGCTCTTTTGACATATCTGCACAGTGAAATTTTCTAGATGTTACATGTGACACTGCTCTAACGTTGACGTGGAATACATTGATTATTATTCGTCAATGACTCAATCCATAAGCTCTCGGTCCTCAGAACATTTCAGAAATCCTTAAAAGGGAAGCTGAAACTAAATGTGTTGAGAAATATTACTTACATACAAAGTAAGCTCACTTATGACATCTATTCTTCGTTGTCAACTTGATTAATCTGGAATTAAATAAAAACCCAAGCAGCTGGGCACAGCTGTGAGAACTTTTCCTTGATTGGCTCATTTGGGGCTATACTTTCTGGTATATAAAAGATACTGAAGAAGAAAGCATTTGCCTGCTTGCCCTCACTCTTACTGTTAAGTTCATCTGTCCTGCTGCTGAGGCATTCCTTCACTGGTATTAGAGCCTACTTCTCTGGGATTCTGATGTATGTTGGAAGACCAGCTGAAACATCCATTTGTGGAACTCAACAATATTGGATTCTTGGACATTCTGTTTAAAGACAGCCATTATTAGACTAGCCAAACCACAGCCTATAAACCACTCTAACACACACACACACACACACACACACACACACACACACACACACCCCAGTTCTGTTCCTTAGAAAACCTTGACTATTACACTTTGTAATCTACTCAGTGCCTGGAACTCAACAATTGACCCACTGTTTGGAAAAGTAAATAAACTGAGGGAGGCCACCAAGAGTTTAAGGATGAAAGGGAAAGGTCTCTATCCACTCACTCAGCATCATATAATATGGAGAAAACACACTCACACAGGAAGAATGCTTAAGCTTTTCAAATCCATGTTATGTCTTTATTAGAATATGCTCCAAGAAACAAGGGCTTTCAAAATCCTTCTGTTGGTGCTAAGTGACAATATACATTCTATGGAATCTCTCTTTTTCATGTGTGTTCATGAAGATATGTGCAGCTGTGCATAAGGGTGCAAATGTGTGTGTGTGTGTGTATGGAAGCCAGGGGTTGATTTTGGGAGTCTTTCTCAATTATTCTTTACCATATCTTTGGAGACATGGTCTCTTACTGAAACTGGAGATCCTGATTCAGCTAGGCTCGTTGGCCAGAGTCTCCACCTTCCCATGATGGGATTGCAGATATGGGGCACTGCCTACCGCTTTTTAGATACATCTGAACTCAGGTCTTCACGCTTGTGTGGTAGGCACAGTACCCACTGAGCCATTCCTCTAGTCTCTGCAGTCTCTTAAACTTTCATTAATTCACATTAATTAACTCAGGATTCTGAGTACTATATCCATATTGCTACATTTCTCTAGTCTGAGTGAAATGACAAATACTTGTATGTGCAGGCCCACTATTCTAGGTTTTGAATGTAGACATGGGGCTTCAGGGAGCTGCTTGTCCAGCTGGTAAACTTTTGAACAAAGCAGTTTATTCTAGAGCTATAGTGAAGAGTGCTCTCAACCTAAGCAATGAAGGTCTGACTGCTTTTCAAACATACTTTTTATTAAACAATCCATTATGTCCTTTTTTTCAAATTATCTTCCTAACAGCCAAGAGAACCCAGAATGAAGGCAAAAACAGGCCCTTGGAGCAGCTGAGCTCATCTGCCACTGGCTGACTGAAAGTCCAGTGGGAGAGCAGGCTGAAAAGGACCAAAATGCACCTTTAACAATAGTACAAAGTTGGTGAGATGGAGAAGACAAGACAGGGCTTGACACCCAACCTTCGATAGGAAAAAGTTTAAATCTCGGCATCTCAACAGTCTATTTATAAAATACAACATCTGTCCAAAACGGCCAGTCATCGACAAACACAGCCTGTGTGCCCACCAAGGAGCAAGGGTTAATATGCCGATCTCATTTTGCTCAACAATTGCAGATTAAGAACGTGCCTGTAAAGCCACAGTGTGGATTAGCAGACTCTGCTGCAGAGCTCATGTTTTCAAACATGACAGACAGAAATGACACCTGTTCTTAGGGGAGATGGCTTTAAATGTCACTTGATGGCGTTAGGCTAGTTCAAAATGTTAAACACCCAAGAGAAAAAGGAAATGATTGCTTTTCCTAAAACGATATCCTTTCAGAATCAAATGAGCCCCGGAAGGTTACCTATGCATTAACCTTTATCCCTGAGTTCTCTTTTTCACACTGTACTTCAAACCCAGGGCGTTGTGCATGCCAGGGAAGCGCTCTACCCCTG